ATGTGCAATAAAGCTTCAAATATAAAGTTGGCATTTTAACCAGGTACTGTAGGCAGGTGTAGCTTTCTGGGCTGAGTGAAGCCACTGTTTTCACGGCAGCAGAGGGTGACTCCTCCGGTTTAAAGTCTGACTGTATAAAACTGTGAAATTCCCCTCCTGCTCACATCTATGACTTCAATAAACACTTTACTGATGAGTGTTATGTTTGACACATGTAGCCTTGGATCTAATATCAAAGATGCAACTGTACAGTCTATTCATGAAGTGAACAAAGTTATCCGTAAACTTAAGACAGAGAAAGTGACTCTTAAGTTTCAGCACTTGGGTAACAGTGAGGATCTGGCATTGGTAGCAGAGGATGGTTCCCAATTACAAAGTACCACCAAAGCTTGATGAAGCCAGGCCATACGAGTGCTGGAAGAATGAAGTCAATATCTGGAGACGAGTTACGGAGCTGGATAAAAAGAAACAGGCACTTACTACTTGCAAAACTTGACGCGGTGTTTCAGAGAGAAGCGAAAGACCGCGCTTATGAAGCCTACTCGTGTTTTGAATCCATTGCAAAGAACCATCCTCTGCTACCAATGTTAACTCAAAAGACACGACGTCGTACTCTCATTCACAGCGCTTTATTCGTTCCGCCAATTTTCATACTAACAACAACAATACTTCGTGGCCAACAGTACTCTCGCGATAAAACAGAAAATAACAAGTTAACAATGAGTTTAAGATGTCTTTGATGTAAATTATGGTCGTCGTTGGACTCAAAAAGGATGATAAAGCAAGTTGAGCTTTACGAAGGTATACCTTGTGATTAACAGCCATCAGTATTTGGTCTCATCTACAAGTTTTCACATTGGCTGGGACTTTACTAACTAATCGCTGATGTCATGTTGGCCTAACTTTACCATATGATTTTAAGACTGAAGTCTAACTTTTGTATTCAGCCTCAAGCGGTCATTTGATGAACTGCAGTTTTTGGCACTTCCCTTTTTCCCCGTTTCAGTCTTGGAGGCTGACATTCGTTTACAGGCTCTTTTCTTTGAGTTTTTAAACTGATTTAAATCACTCTTACAAAATAGTTAATTTTTTCCCCCAAGTGATAAATCAGAAGATTGATGAAACTTTTAAATAAGTTATTAAAGCAGAATTCATATAATTTTATGCATCTCTATTAAAGGCAACCAAACTCCAAAAAATATCCCTGAGTTACATTTAAGTAAATAAATGGTGAAAATGTTTTGACCTACATCTGATCTTTTACATTTTGTACCTGACAAACTTTGGGTGACACCAAGACCACTAATTGCTATCAAGCCCAAAATAAACAGATAAAATTGGAGTGACATTAATATTCTCATCTCAGATGATGCATTGAGTATTTCTTCTTCAATCACTCACTATGTGTTAACAGACCTCTCTGCATAGAATCA